TCCTCCTGTGTTCCTCCTGCGTTCCTCCTGTGTTCCTCCTGCGTTCCACCTGTGTTCCACCTGTGTTCCACCTGTGTTCTTCCTGTGTTCCTCCTGTGTTCCTCCTGCGTTCCACCTGTGTTCCACCTGTGTTCCACCTGTGTTCCTCCTGCGTTCCACCTGTGTTCCACCTGTGTTCCTCCTGCGTTCCTCCTGTGTTCCACCTGTGTTCCACCTGTGTTCATCCTGTGTTCTTCCTGTGTTCCACCTGTGTTCCCCCTGTATTCCTCCTGTGTTCCACCTGTGTTCCACCTGTGTTCCTCCTGCGTTCCACCTGTGTTCCCCCTGCGTTCCACCTGTGTTCCTCTTGCGTTCCACCTGTGTTCCTCCTGCGTTCCACCTGTGTTCCTCCTGCGTTCCACCTGCGTTCCCCCTGTATTCCTCCTGTGTTCCACCTGCGTTCCCCCTGTATTCCTCCTGCGTTCCACCTGTGTTCCACCTGTGTTCCTCTTGTGTTCCTCCTGTCTCTCTGCTGATCACTGATTCAGTCACTTCAGCCCTCATGTCTGTCTCTGCAGAGCTTCATCCATCTTTCCTCCAGCACCTCGGTCGGGCACTAGATGGCAGCCTTGGTTCTGTTCTGGCAGCAGATGAGCTCCAGGTGACAGTTCCTGCAGAAAAGACATCTTTCATCACCTGACACAGAACTCAGGCTGAAGGGACTTAAGGAGCATCTTGTTCTCTGATCTTCATAGTCCGCAGAGCTGAAGACAAGTCGTTCTCCATAACACCACAAGGACATTAAAACAAATCTTAATGTGAAAAACACAAACTGTGTTGATCCAACATTTTTCAGTCAGGTCATCTGGACAGTTTCTTTTTTTTTTGTGCTGAAACGTTTCGCCTTCAATCCAGAAGGCTTCATCAGTCAAGGAAACACACAACACAGTACAGATTCTTCCTCCAACAGCTTACTCCAAAGTGGAACAAACCAGTCTTGTTGGTGCTGTTGGAACGCCCCCTCCTCCATTGCCGGCCCTTTTCTTTGTTGACAGTCTGTCAAATTGGTTGAAAACAACAAAAACCAACAAACAAAAAAAGAAACTGTCCAGATGACCTGACTGAAAAATGTTGGATTGTATACCTGGATTATTGAGCATGGACTTTGTTGTTTACAGACTGTGTTGGTGACACACAAGACATTTCTCTGATACCGAGTTCACTTTGATGCACAAACATTTGGGGAGTGGTGGCGCAGAGGTTAGAGAAGATGGGCCTGTGATCGGAAAGTCACAGGTTCAACTCCCGGTACTTTCAACATCAAAATGTGGTGAAGGTGAAACCCCCACACCTGCCTCCACCCTCATTCGCTCCACTCTGGGCCCCTGAGCAAGGCCCTTAACCCCCACCAACTGCTCCCAAAAACAGGTCTCTCTTGAAAATGAGTTCTCGTGACTCAATGAGACTACCTGGATAAATAAAGGGTAAATAAAATAAAATAAAATAAAATAAAAAACACAGTAATAACCATAATAACAATTTATAAAAGAGGGTGAGGAAATAAAACACAGCCTGTCGGTTAGAGGTTTTCTATTTAAAAAATAAATAAAATCTTTGTTAAATATATATTCATGACCTGGACTATTGTAACGATTTTAATGTGTTCATCTACTGATGACAACAAAATTAAGTATTTAACAACGAAACCTGTAAGTGCAGTTCCTTGCTATTATTATTATTATTATTATTATTATTATTATTATTATTATTATTATTATTATTAATATTAATAATAACAACAATTCTTCTTATTATTATTTTAATTATTAATATTATTATTATTATAATTGTCAATTTTTTGACAGAGGTTAATTTTAGCTCAGCAGCCTTAATTTGTTGAACTAAAATGAAATAAAAATAAATGTTTTCTGATGATGGACACTTTAAAAATGGGAGTAATTTAGCTGCATGTTGACTAAAGTTTTAAGCAGTTTGAAAAAAAAAAAGTTATGACAAACCAGTGCCAGTTTACTGTACAGCAGAGACATAGAAATTAAAATAAAACAAATAAAATAAATTAATTATAAACGTTTCGATTTGAAAGGAAATAATATGTATATGACTCTTGGGTTTTAAATTGTCCTAATGAACACTTTTTTATTGAGATTTTTATATTTTAATTTTTTATCAGGGATTAGAGATAAACAGGAGTTTGTCCCATTAAGTCCCCCCCCCCCCCCCCCCCCTGTCAGAACACAGGCCTCCACAATAAAAGCCCTCCTTGACTTTTCCACCTCTGTCATTCCAGCTGATTACTTCTTTTGTCAAACCAGTCTGCTTTTTCTTAAACGGAAGAATGGGAAGAGGAAAAAAAAAGTTATTTTAAGAAAAGAAATAAAAAGAATGTTTCCTCACTTCAGAATTAAATTTTAATTCATTCGTTTTACCTGCAGATATTTAGGAAATTTATTACAGTAAAATTTCATAATGTGAAAATTCTGGTTTTAAGAATTAATTCCAGTGTTTAAAAAAAAAAAAACCTTAAAACTTGGACAAAAATCGATTTTCACCTTAAAAACGTATTCATCTAAATCTTTAACAGCTCTGTTTTATTGTACTAAATAAGAAAGAAATGCGCCCAAACCCCAACGCTGTTCCGTAAACATAAAAACCAAACTAACAGTTAAAGTTTGCATGTTGTCAGTAAAATATCAGCCACACAGCCGGCCAACAAACACACGCAGTAAACCTTTGATCCCGCGCCCTCCTCCCGTCTGGCCCATTCATGGCTCCACTTCTTTCTCTCCCCGTTTCTTTCCAAACAAACCGAGTTGAGGCTGGCAGATGCCGGCTCGGTGAAAGCTGTTTTCTGGGAGGTGAACCCAATCAATCATGTCGACCAGAGGAGAACATATGGCGCACGGATCCGTGCGCGCCGCAGACAGAGCGGGACCTTCTTGTGACAAGATGCGTCCAAAGAATGGAGAGAAAGGACGAGCTGCTAATTGAAGTCATGGCTCTTCAGAGCTGAAAGCAGAGGTCACAATCCAAAAGGCCCATTTTAACCAAGCAGGCTCAGGTTAACACATTTATACCCTCATTTCTATTTATACTTGTTTTTTCTCTTCAAATCAATATTTATTTTTACACTGAGTCCAACACTCTGACGCGCTTTTAATTTGGCACAATCACACATCCCGCCTCTTGAAATATCATATAAGCTTTATTTACATAGATGCTGATTAAATAGAACATTACAATAAAATAAGATGTTGGATCTATATACAGAACGGAACTTGGGAAATGAGCTGAAATGCGTGCACTTCCTGAACTGTGCGGGAATAAAAGTTCAAATGAAATAAAATGAAAAGCATGAAAAGGCTCGAGTAGATTTTTGTTTGAAACTTTTAGCAGAAATAAACAAAAACTACAAAAATTAGTGTAAATTGCACGTTTGTCTTGAAATGTAACATTTAATATTTAAATGTCACTTTCCACCCTCTAAAAAAACGTTTTTTGATAGTTAAGTTTGAATTTTATAAATCAGCAGGTCCTGCTGCACTGAACAGATTAAAACAATTAAAAACTGATAATTTAATCCATCCTTTTCAAATTAAATCCGTCCTTTGATTTTATTCTCAGGCCCTGCTTCAATTTCTGCGTCTCGTTCTTTTGAGATGTTCTGACAGGTTTTGGATCCAGGTGAGAATAAAGCTTCAGATAATTTGTACTTTTTTTACATTTACGCACTCAGCTTGAGTGAACAAACATTTCATTTAGTCTTCAGATAATCCTCACGGGTTCAGAATGAATAAATTAAAATGAAGAGATAAAAATAGGAAACCTTTTCCCCAAGTGTTCATATCTGTGAATATTCTCCTTTTTTAAATCCGTGCAAAGGTTTGGGCAGAAAAACGTCCCTCTTCATTTCATCATCGTCAATCGTCCACCTCGATCTCCTCGTCGTCCTCCGAGAACTCGTCCGTGGTTTGGTCTCTGGACGAGGACGGGGACTGTGGGAAGGCTCGGAGTCCTTGGGAGGTCGGGGAGACGCTGGGCGTTCGGGTCCCGGGCTCCCCGCCGCCCTGCGCGTCCTCAATGTTCTCCATGCTCACGAGCTTCTGCAGGGTCTGTGGGGTGATCTTCTTCAGAGACTCCACGTCCGCCTTCATCTCCTCCAGGTCCCGCTTGAGCTTGGCCCGGCGGTTCTGGAACCAGGTGATGACCTGCGCGTTGGACAGTCCCAGCTGCTGCGCGATCTGGTCGCGGTCGGCCGGAGAGAGGTACTTCTGGTACAAGAACCTCTTCTCCAGCTCGTAGATCTGGTGGTTGGTGAAGGCCGTGCGCGACTTCCTCCTCTTCTTCGACGTCTGCCTCTGTCCGAAGGCGTTCATGTGCTCCCGACCTGGGAGGGGGTGAGAAGGAGAGGGGTGAGACAAGTGCAGCAGGAACACCTGAGAGGGCTCAGTCCTCCCGAAAATCCCATCAACTTTTCAAAGATGCTCCAAAAATAAACATCTGGAATGGAAATAATTTTTTTTATGTTGAGCCAAACCAGAATTAACTGGTGGCGGTTTTAAATGTCTGCAGGCACGTTTTGCTCCCACGCACTAAACCAGAGTGACCGACTGACTTTTGGACAGAGGTGTCCACGCCTCACTTTTATCAGCATTGAGTCAGACCAACTCACATTTACGCATAAATGTTCAAACTGTTTCTCCCGTTTCGCCCTCACGCGCAGCTGCACGTCCTCATCCAAAGTCAAAACAACCCTCAGCTCCTTAACTCCCAATATTCTCATTAAAAAAAAATCTTCCTAATATTTTTCTGGAGCGTTTTGGTGAGGACGCTTCGTACCTTCTGCCGCCTGGATCACGCTGACCTCCAGCCCCTTGAACGTTTTGCTGGCCAGCTCCTCGAGCGCGCACAGCGGCGACGACGGAGTGCTGATCCCGTTCCTCGCCGAGTTGGAGCCCGTGACTTTCTCCAGCACCCTGGGCGGACAGATGCTGGCCACGGATTTCTTCACGGAGGGTTTGTTCAGAATATCCTCGATGCTGAACGGCGTCAGCGGCTTGTTGGAGTTGGCCGGCGGCGGCAGCTGGTCCAGGGGAGCGCGCCTCCGCTCCTCGCCGCCGGACTGCAGCACAGAGCCTGCCTTCATGTCTTTACTGGAGGTCATCGAAGTCCCGAACGATCGCTGCCCTCAGAAAGTTGATAATTTCATTCAAGAGGCGGATTAAAAACCCACTTTTTAACTCGGGGGCAGCTGGATTCCAACTCTTGGAGTCAAACGCAGCAACTTAGCTCGCCTGAGATCCTCCCTCCAAAACCACCATGCTTTAGGCGTGGGCAGCCGCGCCGAGCGCCCCGGTTCCTCTGCCAAGCTCCATGAAGATGTTTAGAAAGTGGCCGACAGGAGGAGGGTGAACCCCTGCAGGGAGCGGAGGAGGAAAAAAAAGCTTTCTCAGGCTCGAAGATGAAGAAAGCGACTGCTAACGACTTGTTGTTGATTGGGCGAAGTTCAATTAGAGAAACTCTACACCACTTGGTGACCCGCTGCATGCGTCTTAAAGGGCCGGAGCAGAGGAACTAATTGGACGTGGGGAAAAGGAGGAGTCTGCTTCTGCCTCGAAATGTTTATGCATCTGTTTCTCTCTGCTGGGGTGTCCCTTCAGAAAGGGAGAGTTGATCATTTAAGTGACTGCCAACAGCGTCTTTGTTTTGATATATATATATATATATATATGTTACATATATAAAGTAGTTAAAAAAACAACAAGAACAACAGGGTCTGCAGAACTGAGAGTCATTTAGTTACGCGTAATTACGCACGCAGCGTTTTGCGTAATGAGCACATTGTTGGCACCGTGTTGCACACAACAAACATTTATACAGAGCTGGTTTCCAACAAAACATAAATGTTCCATGTTTCAATTTAAGAAGCATCTAATCGGACAATAACGTTTTAATTCTGTTTGCTGTTTTCACGTTGCTCGTCTGTGTTTTGTTTATACCGTTTTAACGTAAGCACCATAAATTACCATGTACTGTTGGTGCAGTGACAATAAAAAAAAATGTAATTTTTGTTTCATTTTTGAATTAAAAATAATAGCATGAATTTGGAGTGTAATAGTTTAATGTTGGGTACAGTGAAATGTTGGTAATAGTCGTTTGATTTAAATCTGTGCTATAACAAATTGCCCCTCGGTGCCACAATAAAGAGAAAGTATGGCAAGCAGTTGTATCATGTAATCTGGACTTGTAAAGTATTGTGACGAGCCATACTTTTAAATAATATCCCTCACACTGAACCTCATTTGATCACACTGTCATGATTGAGTGTTTCACATTTTATTTGGAGTCCTCAGGGCTCCATGGGATTTATTTGTCTAAATAAAGGTTGAATGAATGACTTCAAAAAATGGTTCCAACATTTGAAGCAAACACATTATTTTTTTGTCATATTTTGTTAGGATATACATTGAACTTATCTGATGCATGGCCTGCGTGTTACTGTTTAAAGTTCAGACTGGGTGAAAACACTATTCAGTTCAATTCAATTCAATTCAACCTTTATTTAGACAGGTAATCCCATTGAGCCTTGAGGACTCATTTACAAGATTCATTTTACAAGATTCATTTACTATTACTAAATTACCAGTTGACTTACTGGTAATTTAATATAATGTTGCATCTGGGCTACCGTAGATGAATCCCCAATAAGAAGGGGATATTTATTTTTGGGGCTTCTGGGAGAGTTATTGTCTATAAAAAAAAAGACAATAAATATAACAATACAATTTTTAATTTAGTGTTTGTTTCCGTTTCTTGTTGGCCTGAAACATACTGAACTGCGACCCCCATATACTGATGTAATGCAGTGATTCGGGGTGGGAGGGGTGGTGGTGGTGGTGGGGGGGGGCTTAACACTGGAAATTAAAAACTTGCCAATGCCACAATATATTTTGTACATGTTGTACAATTTTTGAAGAACACTCACACGTCCACAGAACTTTAATCAATCTTAGCTCGCTGATTTAGAACTTGCAACCCACTCTTTTAAATTTTAAAATGTCCACCCCTCTGGATGGGGCAGAATTTCCTGTTCAAGGCCACCACAAGATGCTCCAGGTGAAGTGTATTTATTTCATCCTGATGCTGATCAATAATCCAGGTAGAAAAATCTGAAAGAGTTTAGTCAGGTCCTCTGGACGTTCAAAAATGTATTTATTTCATTAGCAGATTTAAGTTACAATAAATATTAATTTCCAGCTGGAACCTCAAATGAAATCTTTGCCACCATCAATAAAAGTCTAGATGCGCCACTGCCGAGGTTCTGACAGAACCGTGACTTCTGGGCTCAGTTACACCTCATGTTGTGTTTATTTCAGTAACTGTTTACCTGAAAATTAATTAAAGGATAAAGCCCACCTTATTTTAATCATGATTATTTTTAAACGAAACAAAGCATCAAAATGATTAATTATCAGTTTTCTTATTATTGTTGCTGCTATATTTTTTGTTCTCTTTTTTTTATTAATTCTTTTATT